TCTTTTCTGTATCCTCCTGGCCATCTCCCAGATTTACTGATGGTTTTGTTTTCTCCATTTCTAAGAAATTAATCTCTGAATCCTTCTTGTCTCACCTTTCCTCCGTATGTGCAGTCACATAAACTGAATCCCTGTCTCCTGAGCACTGCGGAGCTTTGAAAGCTCCCAGCACCCTGAGCCACCTTCCTGGCCATCCTTTTTCCAGCACCTTTTAAAAGTGCTCCTGCAGTGAAATGAGTCTTTTCCTTTATGACAAGACATTGCCTGTTGGTTTGACTCTTGCTCTCATGGCAGCTTTGGTATTGTGTCAGCTCACAACTCAGAACGAGGATTTTGCTGCTGTCAGCCCAGCAGGATTTTTGAGACATATTTTCTTCACACTTCAGCTCTCACACTTTTTCTTCAGTCCTGGATTACAGGAGAAAAATTTGCTTTGCTTTACCTGGGTAAATTCAGTCTGCTGCTTAAACGGGGATTAACCTTAGTGTTGATGAAGCCTGAATGGCAAGTGGGTCTACTTCGGAAGATTTCACTCGATTTCAGACAATAGTGAAAAATTGGAAAATTATGTTTCATGAGGGTAATTGGGCATCTGCTCATGAGAATTCAGCTCACAGCACAGCAGTGGACAGTTCAACCTCAGAGCTGGTGCATGAAGGCTGAGTCTTGATGGTTGTGCTTTGTAAAAGGGACCAACATCCTTCATGCAAAATTTTGCTTCAGAAAGCATGTCTCCCACAAGATACGACTTCACTGGAAACTGGAGCACAGATGGCTGGTGAGCACTGTTGAACAGCTTGCTGGCATGACCTGGCTTGAGAAGATTTTGTCTGAAGTCCTCTCAGCCCTCCTAGCACGAATCAACTGCTCTGGACATATCTTGCAACACAGCTCCTTTTAACACAGTCTCAGCACCCCTGATGGGAAGGTGTTGTGCTCCAGAGGAAGGATGTGGCTAGGAGTCACAGAGTGAGGATTAAACTGCAGATGAAGAAAGATTCCTAGCTTGGATTGATCCAGCAAGTTATCTGTATCAAATATTGATGGAATGATGTGACTTGGTACAAAGGTCAGTGCCTGTAAAAGTTAAGCAGCATCGATACATGAGCACATGCGCTGCAGTTTTCTGAAATGTGGGCAGATGCTTCTTAGCATTTTCCTTCTTCCATCAGCTGCTGATGGGAATAGCAAAGAAATGTCAGACTGCTGTTACCTCCTTCCCGAAGGTTTAATAATTTGCTTACAGCTCTATGATTAAGCTGAACTCTGCTGATTCTCCTGATGGAGAAGAGTCTCTTGGAGTCTGCAATAATAACAGCATTAAGGTTAATGCTGCAAAATCTCTGTGTTGTTTAGCCTATAAAAACCATGTTTATAGCTCTTCACAGTCCATTAGGGAAATGGTTTGCTCACCTCAGTGAGTGGAGGCAGAGCCTGTGGACAGTTACGTCTGGAAGATGGGGGAACCTTACCTCTCTGGGGAACTGAGCCCACAGTTTGCTTGGTCACTGAGCTCCTTTGGGTGTGTGCAAAGTGTAAGCAATGTATTCTCCTTGCCTTTGGCTGCCTGTGACCGCCCTGCTGTGTCACTGAGGGTCTCATCAAAATCCAGCCTCCTCTTCCTCATTTCAGCCTCACTCTGTAAATTCCAGGCCTTTAACAAGGATCCACTGATTACTCATTGGCTTCCTGGAGCCTTTAGGGATAATGATTAGAAAAGATTTATGTTAATGAAGAATTAATCCAGAATAAAGCATGCAGTGCATGCATGGTCAAATCTCTGCAAGGTAAACAGCAGAAAAAAGGTATTTATGAAAAAGGCTGAGATACACATTTAGCACACTGGGTTGCTGTAAACTACAGGATTGCCCCCAATGGCTGTTCTGCTCCCTTCCCAAGCCTGGTTCCTCTTGGTTTAACCTTCTTTGGTTTTGGTAGAGTTAAAGCAGGAGGCAATTCAGCCCCTTAACACACACCAGCGCAGGTGTCAGAGCAGGATATGGCTCCAAAGTACACTGAAAACATGCAGATGAAATATTTTATTAGTAAATAGCTTTTAGTAGCTAAGTTCAGGTCTAAATTCGCCAGTCCCAGGGGTAGTAGGGGAAGCAGAGTTTGTGCATGCAATTTTGGCTTCACCTGGTGAAAACCAGGCCTGCAGGGCAGAGAAATCCCAGTAAAGGATGAAACTGGGAACCAGAGATGAAGGCTTTGGGTCTTCTGAGAGAGTCAGTGCCATCTACCTTGTCTGTGGGTATGCAGGTTTGTCTGCATTCATGTCATGCAAGGATTAGGTAAGGGATACTTGGAACTGCTATTTTGGATTTGATTGTGGAACTAATTTTAGCAGCTCCCTGTAAGACTATGCATGTCAAGCCTTTGGAACTACCTGAGATGACAACAGCAATGAGGTGGCCTGGCTTAGCCCCACAGGAAGTGTGTCATGCAGAGCAGGAGTGCAGGAGCGGGAGAGGTGCCCTGGGGAGGGATAGAGGAGCACAGCCCAGGCTGAGGGGAAGCGGAGGGAGGCTTGTGGGATGCGAACAGCACGGGGACTGTCAGCAGGACTGGTACAGGTACAGCATCCTGATATGGACTACAGGAAACATTACAGATCGGAGAAATATTACATGTCAGAGCTAAGGACACATCAGCAGATGTATGTGCAGGAAGAAATTTTTTGTCTGGAAAATCATTTTCTTGCTTGCATGCACAGCATTCACACAGAAATATAAAGATAAAATAATCCCTTGGCTTTCTGCATCTGTATTCTTGATGTTTCGTTCATAGGTTTATAGGCTTCTTCAAATATTCATGTATCATAAGTGAAAATGAGAAAAATAGTTCTTTTGCAGGCTGAAAAGCAAATGAGGGAAAAAATAAAATCAAATCCCAGAGCACTAGAATAATGGTTTTAAAGAACATGAGAAACCAATGATACATTTTTTTTAATAACCACAGTAGCTTAGGGGCCCAGTAATAATTCATTATATTAAATTTGAACACCAATTCGACCCGTTGTACTAATGCCTGTAATTGCAAAAGGCAAATTAAATTTCCCTACATTGTCTGGAGAACCAGAAGACCACAGAATAGTGAGGAAGCCACAGGACAGCATAGAGCTGCAGCAGGATAGAGCTAGAAGGAGACTCATGCCACAAGGGGAAGTGACAAACCTGGAGCAGACTTCCAGGCGCAACCGTGTGGAGGACAGAGCAAGCATCCTATTGCTTCTTATGGCTCTGTGGCACTGTACATGCTGCAGAACACATCTGTGAATGGTTCTCCCAAAAGTTTTGGACTCGCCAAAGGAAGCGACCCTGAAATAGAAAGGATACTCGGCAAGGAGCCTCTTCATTGTCCCTTCCCTTTTCACTGCACCTCCATCTGCCATCTGTGCAAGGCAGACTTCCCGGACTGCCCACGGTATTTCCAGCTAGGGAGGTGGATAGATGGATGAAGATCTTGACAAAGCCAATGCATTTCCACAGGCTGGAAGAAAATCTCCGCTCCTGGATGCTGCTCAATGGAGCAGGGAAGTTGGAATTTCCCCAGCTCTGCTGCTGATGTGCTGTGCAACCTTTGACAAATCGCTTAGGAAATCACTTTCAAACAGCACAGATACAGTTAGGTGTATCTGTATAAAAGTGCCTGCTTTTCAGAGGCCTGAACTGGCAAGTCTGGGAAAATGAGCTCTTTTGGACTCCAGCCCATTTCTGAGTTTGCAAAATGTTCCCTTTAGCCTCTCTTTTCTTGCTTTACTATCTGTCAAATGAGGCTGTTAATACTGACTCAGTCTTTCTACAGTTTTAAGCTTCTGAGACTAGAAGTGCATGATAGTGTTACTAATTACAAGACGGTGATTGCACACAACCAACTCTTTAGGGACTAGTTTGCTGTTTGAAAGACAGGTAAAAGTCAGAAGTAAGGCACAGAGCTGGTGCATGGCACCTCTTAAAGAAGTTTGGTACTTTTTCCTCAACAGACCCTTCTGTAGTTAGTTAGAGACTGGGATGGAGGCTGTGGCTTTCTAGGGGCAACGCCTAAGAGAAATCCAGCCAGTTGGGTTTCTGTGACAGCTCTGAGGAATGGAGAAATCAAGGCAGGGGAGGGCCAGGAGGTCACTGCCCAAGGCAGCTGGCGGGCTGGACTGTGCCGGTGTGGAAATTCAGGGTAAGGTCCATCCCTTGCAAGGACCTTTGCCTATTCTCCTTCCTTCCTCCCTAACTCACGGGACCATGTGGTCACATTTCCTGGGTGGCAGTTGCATCCTGCTGCGATTACGGTTGCACAGCACATGCAGCACTGTCGGGCAGGCCAGCAACAGAGCAAAGACAGCCAGGAAGACTCAAAGCAGTGATGTGTGCCTATTCTCCCCCTGACCCTCTGGGACTGGTACCTGTGTGTGTGGCATAAACATAGGTGAGCTAGGGCATCCTGGGGAACGCCCTGTTCCACGCTGGAGGCCAGCGCCCATTTTATCAACACCTTCCTCTGATGATGGTCTTTGCAGTGAGCTGCCAGTAGCGCCTGGCTGCCCTCTCTTCTCAGTCATCCTCTGGTTTACCAGGGCTCCCCAACTGTGCCAAGCCCCACCACAGCCACGTACTTCTGGCTGAGCTGGGGCCTGCTCTATGCCTTCAGATCAATTTGGGTTGTGTTGGGCCCGATGGCAAGCATAACCACTCCCCTCCCCTTCTTCCCTTCCTCTCCTCGCTAATCGCCACGTGCATCCCATCCCTCTGCCTTCACTTAGGGGGTGTGTGTGACTTTGGGGGCCAGCACCCTGGTGCTCACAAGCCTCCTCCCCATCTCACTGCTGCAGCGTCTGCTCCCCAGCCTGTGCCCAACATGCAGCCCCAGTGAGCTCACACGCTGCCTTGCACCATGTCCATTGTTCACTGACAGCGATCATCTGCAAAACAGCTTTTTCCCCCTGGATATTAACTTATTCCCTCTTTTATTCTCTTTCCCTGTCTTATTTTCTTCTCTCCCTACAGCCTTGCTGCTCACCCAAGGTAAGTGCTTTTTCTCCTTTCCTTTGCCTGCTCTGGCTCTATTTTTGTCCCCTTTGGTTAGCCCCTGTGTTTGTGTTTGATTTGTAGACAATCCCAGCTCACGGTATTTGTGTCCAGCAGGAACTAGTTAAGAGCAATGCATTAAGAAATGACAGTGATTGATTGACATCTAAGAGTATTTCCCATATTCCAGATTCTTCCCTGTGGCTTTAGGAAATGACCCAGGCAGGGTTGCAAAGCAGATCATGGAGCTCTGGCTGGTCTGGGGCCATGACTCCACCCCCTCCTTGGGCAGCTCTGGGGCTTGGGTTGTGCTTTTCTGCTGGGGTGCAGGATGGTGTTGCTTGGGGTGGGCAAGGGTGCAGGGCTGTGACGGTGTCCCCTTCCCATAGAGGATTAAGCCATGTGTCACCCCTTAGTGCATACACCCACGTGCTCCCCAACTCCCATCCATGGGGATCCCAGGAGTGTGACCAGCGACAGGGCAGTGCTGCCAGGGCATGACAAGCACCAGCATCATTTCCCTCCTCACCCTCAGCTCTAGTTCTGCACTCTTCATCTCTCCCTGTGGCAAGATTTTACATGCATTTATACTGAGTCTCCCCTTCCTTGCCTGAAATCCCAGTTACGCCAGTCTCCCTTGATCCCACTGCAGTGCGATGTATGCCAACTGTATTTTTCTTATTCCTTCAATTCCTGATACGATTACAGTTGAATTTGCACTAAAGAAACATTTGTCAAAAGATAAGGGCATGCAGCAGGGTGCAGGGAGGAGCTTGAGTCTGACAGGTTTGCAAACAGAGCTGGAACCCAAAGCGTTCATCATGCCTGAGCTGTGCTGCAAATCAGAGGAACAGCATCTGCCACCCTAGCTTCAGTCTCTGCTTGTTTTTGGAGGATGCCAAATCTGCTGTGCAGGGAATGGTCTGAACCCACTGGATATTGGGCTAATTAGGAAATTGCTAGTGGCAGGCAGAAATCCCCAGCTCCCCAAATACCAGCTTAGGGTGTTTACAGAGAACTTACTGGAACTGTGGACATTTTCTTTTGTTACTTCTTCAGGTCTGGGAGGACTGGAGATAAGTTGAGCACAGCCTCCTTCCCAGTAATTTCATTGCTTTAATTCAGTAGCTGCCTAATTTGATCAGAACCCCAGAAATCAAATAATTTCTATTACAATAACATACCTTTCTTCCCTCTGTTGTGATCCAACCCTGATTGCTTTCGGCAGCTCTTATTGGAGGACTTGGTCACCAGCTATGGACTTTCCAGTTAATAAAGAAAAGCTTCTGTCTTTTCTGGGAGGAGGATCCCTGGGGTGCCCCCCTTGCTGGGTTGCCCTGGTGTGCCCTCTGTTCATGCAGTGTGTGCTTGGCCTGAAGTTTGAGCTCATGGTGCTGGCCCTGGCTCCTGCTTCAAGCCAGCAGCCGGCCAGTGAGCAGAACTCGCTGGCCACAGAGGCACGTGCTGGAGCGAGTGTCACTCAGCAGCAATCACAGCTAATCAGCGGGGAGAGAAGTGATGTCCTCGTTTAGTCTGTGTCATGTTAGATTTAGATTACACAGGCACACAGGAATCTGGGTAAAAACCCCTGCATCATCTGTCAGTCCTGCTCCTCGTCCCCTTGCTCCCACAGCTTTTCCCAGGCAGTGTCCCTTTTCCCCAGGGCTGTGTCCCTGGGAATGCTGGGTGCCCTGGCTCTCCTCTGCAGCCCTGGGGCATTCACCCTCCCATGGCACCTCTTCTGCAGCCCCCACAGGGCCACAAGTGGCTCAGGCCCAGGTCATTGCAGTGGCTCCATCTCCTTGGCAGAAGCCCTGGGGTGCACCAGTGAACAAGCCCAAGTGAAAATGCCCCTCTTGTCCCAGAAGCCCTTATTCGGAGGTAAATGGGAGAGCTTGGCTCTGCGCCCCTGCCTTGTAGAACCCTCCCTGGGAAAGAGGGCTATGAATTTCGCACAAGGCAAAGTAACTGGGCAGGGGAGTACCTTTGGCACAGGTTCAGCTCAGTATTTGCTTCTTCCAAACAGGCTCTCCAAGCCAGACTTGCAAGGCTGTGCAAAGCTTTTGAAAGCCTTGGTCGGCCAAGTGTCCAGTATCTGCTGCTGGGACTGCAGAGAACCACAGTGGTATTGAATGGCTGTGGAATGACTTGAGAGTCAAACCTGTTTGGGTTTTTTAACTCCTCTGTTGCATAACCTTTTGTTTTGTCATTGGCAATGATCTCTCTGTATATTCTTTATACAGGGAAATATTTGATACCAAAATCCATAGCTGCTCCAGTTGTCCCTGCTATTGCCAGCAGTGAACAAGCTGCTCTGGTGGTCTTCCCAACCTTTGCAAAAGTCACTGAAAGTCCGAGTAGAGTCTTTGCTTGCAAGTTCTTGGGCTCAGGAAGTCCACATCTTTAAAGCAATGAGGAATTACCTAAATGGTAGATGCTGCTCTACTTCCATTTCCATGTATTCACACACATCAAAGAAAGTATTTCTAAATATGTTTCTTCATTTCTGTATTAAAACCTCTGGGTCCACAGTGGGAAAGGCTGGGGAGCAGTGATGCCAGTTGACTGGCCCGTTGGGGATGGTTGTGTCAACAGCAATTTCAAGGCAGAGCCAGTGGTGGAATAATGTGCAGTTTCCAGCCCTGTGCCTTAGCCTCCCTCTCATGAGTGTGCAGCATTTCCCAGTTAGCTTTAAGGATGCTGGGGCATGTTTAGTGGATGTATCATGTCTCAAAAATAGCTTTCGGGGCTAAGTAAGCAGATTCGTCCCTTTTTAGAAAGCAGCCCAAGCTGGCGGTGCTTGTGCATGCGCATGTGTTTCAGCAAAGGGCATATCCATATGCTAACCTCAAAAGCCAGAATGTCTTTTAGCCAGCAGTCTTCCATAGTTGTGACTGACAGCTTGACAGCGCTCTGGAGAGAGGAACTCATTCATGCTCACTGCTTACTTTGTTTACCAGGATTATATTTTATTGAGCAGCAACAAAAAGTTCCCATTTTAATTGTTGTTTTAATTTCTTCCTAGCAGCTCAGTCCCCAGAAGGGGTGACCTTCACGCAGATACATGCTCTCTCTAGAAATGGATGGAGATTGAGGGGTGTGAAATGGCTCTCATAGCAATCTTCAATGAATATATTGCTGGTTTTAATCCGATTTATTTAGCAAGTGACAGGAAATACAAACTGGTCTGTGGCTGGCATTCTTGCAGCACTGCCTAGGTGATGGGTATCTACCTCTCTGATGATGTTACAGGGACTTCCCATTGCCTGTTTCAGCTCAAAGGGTGCAGTGGCCACGTTATCTAACTTTGATATATGATGTGTCCTGGAGGCCACATGCAATGTCCAGTTCCAATTTGGTCCCTCTGGTCTGAAGGAGGTTGAACAGGCGAGCATCCATGTAGTAAGTACCCTGCAGGAGCAATGCATGATGTGGGAATGCTGCTCAGTGCTCTCCATTCTCCTGGGAGAAATAAAAGGAGGAGGAGATCTGCTTACAGCATTTCAAGCCCAAGAAACTGCCTATGATGTGTAGGTCTGAAAGCACTTTGAAAACGGCTTCAGATCAATTCTCTGGATGGCGCTGCAAGTGTAAGTCATTGCGCTGTGTAAGTCATTGTGCTGTTGAGAGAGCTGAGCAGTGAGCATAGCAGGGATGTGCCCAGCGCTGCCTGGCAGTGGTAGGACTGTAACTGGGGGCTGCTGGCCCCCTCATCTGTCCCAGTTTTAAGGGTCTGAACTGACCCTGAAAGAAGCAAAGTGAGGACACAGAATGGTTTAACCAAAACCCTCTGCTTGCCTCCTGCAGGTAGGTGCTAGAGTCAGCTGTGGCCATTGCTACAGCCTGGCCCAAAGCAGACTTCGTTCTCATTCCTCCCACCCAGCCTTTGATCCTACCAGATGTTGTCTCCCCTGCTTATAGCATCTCTTCTAACCTGTGGGCTCCCTGGCATGAGGAGCAGAGTACCTTGGTGTAGCACCTGGCACAGCAGCCCTGTGTGTGCTCCTGTAGCCCTGATAGGTTGTTAGCACTTACTGATAGCACACACCTATATGCCAGAGTAGGTGGGATGTAGGGGACCCCTCTCTCACCACTTTCCCCTTCTCGGGGAGGAAGTGGCAGCAGCCCAGAATGTCCTGGCAAGCTCTTGTTCTTGCTGGGCATAGCCAGACCTTATCAGGCTTAATTAGCATGGAATCCTGTCAACCCAAGTTCCTGGGGTGTAATCTGCGTTGAAAAGCAGGTACTGATGCTGATACAAACAGAAATCAGGCTAGTTAATAATTAAGCTGCAGCTTGGCAGCATTCACCTTGACAGACTTGACCTTCCGAATATAAAAATCTGTCTCTCCCCTCCCCTTGTGTTTTATTTATCACAGCCCTTGGTAGTGTCCTTTACAGGCTACTGCACTGGGGGGGGAGGGTGACACACCTCACCAAGGACCTATCCCTGCTTCCTGGAAGAGCCCTCCGAGTCCCTGGCCCTACCACCTGGTCCCTCAGGAGGTGGGGCCCTGTGGCTACCATACACGATGTGAGAGCATGCCCCACGCTTGCTGAAGTGGCCTCCTGTGGCTCCAAAGGCAGGCTAGTGCATGTGGATGCTGGCTGAAGTTCTTCCCTGAAAGGCAGGAGCATCGGGAGTGTGCCCTGCCACTGAGATGTTACAAGAGTTGATTCCCTATCAGCTGTTGTGTCTGCACATATGGGGCTCAACTCAGTCCTCAGCATCCCATCGAAACAGATAGATCGAGCAAGCCTGGAGCAGATTCTGATTTGGGTTTAGTGTTTTGCAGAGGTTGGCGTTGCTTCTTGCTACAGAGTGCTCAGGTGTCCTAAAAGGTAGGTGGGGAGAAGTGGTTGATTCATGTAGGTGCTTTGTACTGCTCTTTGGAGGTGCTTAGGTCTCCCCCTTAACTGTAGGGTGAATATAGGCTGGGGCAAGAGATTGGTCAACTGGGCTCCTGAGCTTGTCCTTCCTGCCACAAATACCACTGCCTTAATTTCAGAGGACCATCATTAGCCTGGTATTTGGCACCTACATCTCACTTGCATGAGTGCTTGAGCACAATACTGACGTGAGCCTTAATCTGTTTATCTCCTACGTTAGGAGAGAGGCTCAGTGAAAATACAATGGCAGATTAAATATTTTTATATGCACCTGTGAAGTTTGTTAGGTTTTTGTGACTTCTTTTCAATGGGGCATGAAGGAATTACCTCAGTTTTGCTTTATCTGCAAGCTTCCTCTATTAACATTTCCCCAAGGTACCCATTTGAACGCTCTGCCTATGCCTGTTCTCCTGTGGTTTGCTGCTGACTTTGAAAGGTGTAGCCTGGCAGTGGCATTCAGTCAGCTGCCCCCATAGGACATCCTTGACGTGGCTTCTTGGGCAATTGTGTGTCTTCTCTCTGTGCCCCAGTTCACTGTATTTGCTGCAGAAGAGCTGCTTGGTGACAGCAGGGTCTCCATTATTCATGTCTCGGTGGATATGCTGTCAGCAGGCTGATCAGCTTGTCCCTTCACCACAAGTGGCCTATTTAGGGCTTAAAGGTACCTCTGGTGGTGCTTATTCTGCTGGCAAGGTGCTCTCTGAAATAGCACGAGTCCCACCGCCCTTCAGTGCTGTGGTAAGTGCCAGCACCTTCACTTTGGTGCAGTGCCTGGGCCCATACTCATGATGCATCCAGCCTCAGGCTGCAAGAGCAATCTATCCATTCTTGGACATGGATGTATTACTTAATTTACTCTAAGAGCTGCCTGGCAAGTGATTGCCATGCTCATCAAATCAGTAGCTGATATGTATGTGGCTTGCAGAGACAACAAAACCACCTGCTAGCAGCTGAACATCCTGCAGGCCTTCCCATGCAGCATGGCTAACAGCCTTGGACCTGGTCACAGTAATAAGAGATGCAGGAGACCTTCCTCCACAGAGGAGGGTTTCAAGTCGTGTGATGTCCTGCCTGGCACAGGTACATAAACCAGCACGAGTGAGATGCCAGATTCTGGAGTAAAGCTGTGTTGGATACCTCTGCCTACAGTGAGGAGAAAGCTTTCTGCACTGTGTGTGCTTACAGACCTGCCTGCAGCTCAGCCTTGCCTAGATAGTTAATATTTACATGAGGCTCCATGTTGTCTTACCATGCCAAAGGTTTTTGTCAGATCAGTTGAAATAGGGACTGAGGTTTTGTTGCACCGGCTCTCCTGGAGTTGTTAAGCTGAGGAAATTCTGCCTGATATTCCGTTTTCAGGACGGCTCCTCTGAATCCAGACAACTGCAGCCAGTGGGCGAGAGCCCAGGGGACTGAGCCGCCAGCTGTGACAGCAGCTTTCCAGATGCAGTTACTTCCCAGCTCAGGCAGTGGTGAGCCAGGCCATCACCACATCTGGGCTCTGCAGCCCTGCTGGGCTGGCTGCTTTAGCTCAGCTCAGTGCTGTCAGCACACGTCAACATGTGCTCAGCTCACCTGCCAAGCTGGGCCTTGCAGCGCTGAGGGTATCTCCCTCCCCTGAGCTACAGGTTATGGGGAAGCTCAGGCAGCTCAGCAAGCACGTATGTGCTATATGTGCTAACACTGGCACTGTCAATGATGGGTACAGCTTGTCATCTTCATACACTTCCAGGTAGAGGCAGAGACTGGACTTTGTCAATCTCTGTCTTGGAAAAAGAGATGCAGATTTCATCTAACTACCTGCCCAAGTGAATCTTGATAACCATCATTTCATACCTCTGAGTGTAGCATAAGGCAGGCCATTTTGTCCAAGTTCACCCTGTTTCTGCACTTCTCCAGCTCAGCTGCCTCCTCCCCTCTGTGCTTGCTTGACTTTACCTGCAGTTGTCCCACATCCCTCAGCATCCTGCATTGCCTGTCTTCTTCTCCTCCAGGTGCTGTGCTCCCCTATCTATCATTTTTTTGTAAACTTGGGATTCCTAAATCCGAAGTACACTGTCATTGAGCTAGGCAGTGATGGTTTTGATGTAAGTCATTGATTTCAAATGATGGATGCAGCGGTTTCTGCTTCTGTGATGGCTATAATAATGTCACCTGCCACAGGAGTTCTATATCTTATAAACTCTGCAGGCAAGGCTTACAGTTTTTGCAATCAATCTAGCTGGACTGATGGAGAGAAGGCAGAGTTTTTAACTGGATTTCACTGGAACTTCATAATTTCTGTGATATCTAGTGTGGAGTATGAGGTCTGTTGGAGCCCACAAGGGATTCATCCCATCTTAGGCATTACCTGGGGTGTTTGTAACCTCTACAGTAAACCTTGGGTAACATCTGACCTCTGCTTAGCCACAAGAAGATGCTCTGCCTCTGGATACTCCACTCCCCACATTCTGGAGAGCTGCAGCTTCTGCTCTCAGGCTCAGCTGGGTCCCGTGTTGCAGCTCCATATACCCTGACTGGTCAGGCACAGGAAAGCAAATCTGGGAAATCTAGCTTCTTTCTTGGGATGTCAAGGCTTTTCAGAGAGACCGTTGCATGTGCCTGTGCTTGGGTGTATGGGAAAGCAGACCTAGGTTGGGGCTGGGGACAGTGCCAGGACACCCTTCATGATAGCTGGGGGGCTCCTTCCTGTCCACACAACCAGAACCTCCCTAGGCTGGGTTTGCTGGGGCAGCAGCAAGATGAGCCTGACACAGGGCCATCTCGGCATGCTGCTGACTTGGAGTCCTGGTTTAGTTTCCTCCAGAAGAAACTAAACATGCAGTGATACGAAAGAAAATCCCCACTTGCTTCCTGAATTCTTCCTGTTCATTGTTCATTAGGAATGTGCTCTTGTGGTTGTGACTGTGTGTGTCTGTCTGAATGTTAGATCAAGCACTGAGTGGCACAGGGTGCCGATAGTGATCTAATCAAAGGGGAATAAAAAGATCCTGGAATCAGGAAAGAAGCCAGGGCATTAAAGCTGTCTTAAAGGACAACTGTGCCAAATGGCAGAATGAATTTGTACCTTGGTCTCCCCAAAGATGTGGCTGCTGCAGGGTTGTTGGGAGGGTGTACGCCATCCAAAAGCACCAATGCAGGCTAGAGAAACAGCTATTTGGGTTTCTTTTTAATAAATTAAAACTATGCTGTGTATGGTTTTGGTGACTGAGATTCCAAACTCTTGGCCCTTTATTTCTGTGGTCCAACACCCCACCACTGCCCCCATATTGCTGTGTGAGTTTGGCAAGCTGTGAAGGGGCTGCAGAAGCCTCCATGGTGCCCCGATGCTCCAGAGCTGCTGTCTAAAGTTGTGTTGACCTTGCTTTCACAGAGGTGGCTGAGAGGAAGCTGACAGTTGAAGAGGAGGAAGCCAAGAGGATTGCAGAGATGGGCAAGCCAATACTCGGCGAGCATCCCAAACTAGAGGTCATCATTGAGGAGTCCTACGAGTTCAAGGTCAGTAGTTGTCCTAGAGGTCCTCCAGGAGGTGAAAGCTATGTGGCACTGAAGAGCAGCCATGGAGATCAGGACTGAGGAGGCAGGGAAGGGATGCTGGAAGAGGAAAGGGAGTATGTGATGGAATAAAGGGTAGGGGAAACCTACAAGAAATGCCGGGAAAGTAGCTGGTGACAGGAGAGGTGACGGGAGGAAGACAAGGGACCCCTGCTGGAAGCAGAAGCAGCCAGCGTGCAGGAGAGTGCAGGAACAAAGCTGTCTCTGGTGAGGCAGGGGTGAGGTAAGGAGCCTCATAAGGATTAAGGGGTGGCAAACTGGTGAGGAAGGATTAAGGGGTGGCAAACTGGTGAGGTTTGAGTCAGCCTGTCCAGGGAGAAGGTGGGTCCAACTCCAGTCACAGCCTCAGCTGTCTGGTAGGGGAGTACTTGTGGCACTTCCACGGTTTGGGAAGGGTCTGTGAGACCACCGAGGACTGCAAGATCAGCTTTGCTGGCTAGCAGCTGGTTTATTGCTGTGCATCTTTCTTTCCCCAACAGAACACTGTGGACAAGCTGATTAAGAAGACAAACCTGGCTTTGGTTGTAGGGACACATTCCTGGAGGGACCAGTTCATGGAGGCCATTACCGTCAGCGCAGGTGAGGGGACATCAGAAAACCCACACCAGCATCTGTAGGGTTCATTCAGCCTGAGGTGAGATCTGTCTAGGCTGAGGAGACAGGATCTGCCTGGTCAGTGATGCTCAGCTGTTGCGTGTGTTGTGGCTGTCAGCAAAGCCAGTTCAAAGAGCTTTTCTGCTCCAAGTATACTGGACTTTTGCAGATGCATTAGCCAGGAGCTCAGGAGATCCATCTCTGGGCACAGAGACATCCAGAAGGCCAGTTTTCAAAGACTTTACGTTTGCTGGTGGTGCTCCTGCTGCTTCGGTGGTCTGAAGGGCTGTGTATAGGCAGCATATTCTCATCCTGACTGGGCTCCTGGCTCCTGCCTCGTGTTGTCCTGTTCAGGTAGCTCCTGCTGGTGGAAGATGTCCTGTCTGCTGTGGCCAGTAGAGTCTCTGGGAGTGGAGAGGGTTACCACATGCGGATAGGAAATACTTTCCCATGAGGCAGCTGCTGGTGGAGGGAAAAGCCCAGAGACCTGCCAGCTGTTGTCCAGGGAGCCTGGGAGAGCTCACCCCTTCCAGAGCCATGCAGCTGTGGAGCAGACATTATAGGCAGGTCCATGTTTTTTCCCAGGCCTGCTTCTCTCTTCTCATGTCTCTCTCCTCCCCTTGCCATCTGCCCTGTGTTCCCTTCCTGCTTTCTCTTCCATTATCCTGTATCAGCACAAAGACTGGCAATGCCTCCATCCTTGGGGATGACCTTGCCCCAGGCTAAGAAGGAGACTCCTCCAAGAGCCTGCAACACTGCTGCTGATCCCTCACAGAGATGCGAAATTTCTTGCTGGGGCACTGCTGGTGACCAGCCCGTGCTGTGGAGCAGGAAGACCAAGAGGTCTCTCCAGTTTCCCAATTCCATAGCTTTCTGCTGGTTTTCACCCCCCAGAAATAAGTATTTTGGGCTGATATTGGCATAAAGTTATTGGACAACAATAATTTCATGGTGCCCCTCAGCAGTGACCTCCACAGGTTAACTAATTCCTATGCAACGTCCTGTGGATGGGGACAGGGCTGTCCCTTTGTGGGTACAACACATCCCTGTGCGTCTCCCCTGCCCTGCAGGTTCTGAGGTGTTCTGGGAGGCACCCCTCTTAACAAGCCTCACCCATCACTGAGGGACCTGCTATGCCCTGAGTCCACTGCCATGGCTGGCACCATGCCACCTTGCCCCATGAGGGCAGCATCCCTAGAGCCCTGGGGTGGGGGGCTGTAATCTTGACCTGCCCCATCATGTGTGCTGGACCTCTTCTTCCATGTTGTTTGCAGCAGGTGATGAGGATGAGGATGAGTCTGGTGAGGAGCGCCTGCCATCCTGCTTTGACTATGTGATGCACTTCCTGACCGTCTTCTGGAAGGTGCTGTTTGCCTGCGTGCCCCCCACTGAGTACTGCAACGGCTGGGCCTGCTTCATTGTCTCCATCCTCATCATTGGCATGCTCACAGCTGTCATCGGTGACCTCGCCTCCCACTTCGGCTGCACCATTGGCCTCAAGGACTCAGTGACTGCCGTCATCTTTGTCGCCTTTGGCACTTCTGTACCAGGTGGGGTGGCCGCGGGCAGGGGATGGGGTGCAAGGAAAGTCCTCTGGTGGCTCTCCTGCATGCAGGGGAGCAGCTCTGTTATGGGATGGGGTTCAGGCTGGAAGGGGCTCTACAAAGCCCTGTCCCAAGGCAAGGTCTGTGCCCCGCTTGGTGGCAACATGGGGTCCTTGGACCCAGGAGGCGGGCTGTGCATCAGGAGAGGTCTGTGTCCCAGACATGAAGGGTTGACCATTTATCCTGTTGGACCCCCAGTGATTTCTCCTTCCCTCCTCCCCCAACCGCAGACACGTTCGCCAGCAAAGCCGCAGCCATTCAGGATCTGTATGCCGATGCCTCCATCACCAACGTCACAGGCAGCAATGCTGTCAACGTCTTCTTGGGCATCGGGCTAGCATGGTCAGTGGCAGCAATCTACTGGGCGTCGCAGGGGCAGGAGTTCCAGGTGTCAGCGGGCACCCTGGCCTTCTCTGTCACCCTCTTCACCATCTTCGCCTTCATCTGCATCAGTGTCCTCCTCTACCGCCGGCGGCCCCACCTCGGGGGGGAGCTGGGTGGCCCCCGGGGGTGCAAGCTGGCCACGACATTTCTCTTCGTCAGCCTCTGGCTGCTGTACATCCTCTTCGCCACCCTGGAGGCCTATTGCTACATCAAGGGGTTTTAGGCAGTGGAAGGACGGTGCCTCCAGGGGGAGGGACACCCCTCCTCCATTACCTCACTGGACACCGGTCCTGGAAGCATGGTTTCATGGGAGGCGACGGCTGCCCGTCGAAGGCTGCCACTGCCCAGGCGGTCACACAGCTGGGTGCCAAGAAGGGCAAACCCATCACAACGTGAAAGAACAACCAAACAGACAAAACCCACCCAAAATGATACAAAAGGAAAGGAAGCAACAATGGCAAGTGTTGAAATAAAACAAACCACAATAAACCCAGCCACTGACCCCGCTCAGTGAGATGACCTAGCCTCAGCCATCTCTGAAGGCCATCTCCCCACAGGGGCTTGTCTCCTTTCCTCCCAAGCACCCCTCTGCTGTAAGGAGATGTTTTCTTATTTTCACTAGTTGGGAATTGCAGAAGTCTGATGAGGAATTTGTGGGTTTTTTCTCTTTCCATTTGCTCGTTGCTTTTCAGTTTGGGGGGAGCCGCTGCTCGAGTTCATTTTTTTTCCCTTTTTTACTACTTAAACAGAAAAATGTTAAAAATTTAAACTCTGAACCTTTGAGCTGCCGTCAGTGCTGGAATTGAACATGTGTATTTTCTGAAGCCACACAAGAATATGACACAGTCAAAGAACTTTTTCACTATTGCCCATTCCCTCCCCTGCCGCCTTCCATTTCTTTCCAAGAACATCACAAGACTGATATATTTTTAATACAGAGACACACAGACACACATTTAGTGACAAAGGCTGGAGCATGTAGCATCTCAATCACCTGCCTGGGCTAAGAAAAAAGGAGGACACCCCTCCCTCCCCCCCCCCCCAGCCCTCTAATATAATACGTACCATGTATATTTTGACTATGGCATTTCTCTTTGTATAATTAACTTCTAGCTTGTGATATTGCAGGGAGAGAAAAATTATGTTCATTTTCAACTGATAGAGAAATAAATGGCTACCCAGGAATAGCCTCCCCTTCAAGGAGAGAGGTGTCCAAGGAAAGCAGCACCAGCTCCTTGGAATGGTGGTGGCGGTGGGTTCGCTGCGCAGTCCTTCTGCTCAGAGGTGGAAATGAATTCAGGAACACCTGGACAGTGTGCCCATGTGTTCCCAGCACCAGCCTGCCCGAGCTGTGGTGTGGTTGTCCTTTCACTCCTTTAGTACCCCGGTTTTCACAGCACCCTCATCTCGCTGGTGGTCTTGAGGCCATTGAAAGGCATGGGCTTAAAAACTGCCACCCGTGTCAGGACTTCTCGATCATCTTGAGTACCGTTAAGAACACCAGATAGACAAAGAGGCATCCTTCTCATTTGAAGTGCATTTCTTTTTAAGGAAAAACAAACAAACAAACCACCACGAAAGTGTGTCATGAATTACATCAATGGCTGCAAATAGAAATGTTGGGTTGGTAATAAAAATAAATAAAAACTATGCCTATATCTATAAAAATAGTGATATCTAGAAACATATTTCTTAATTGAGAGCCCTGGAAGAGGATGTTAAAACTTCACTCTTTGTAAAGTATTTTCAAAATGAAGGTAATTTCTTCGATCAAGAAACAGCTGCTGAAAGGGGAAACATTTTCTTCATAAAGTTCCCTATAATAAGCCAGACTTTGGAGGCAGCAAGCAGGAAAGAGGCTGCTGGAAGCTTTGCCTCTGTCTGCTGCTGCCCCAGAAGGCGGGGAGGAGGTGTCCACAAGATAGGGAAAAAGCAATGGTAACAACTCTGTCATGGACAAGAAGAGATGTAACATTATAGCAGGAGATGACTAGATGGGAATGATGATGGTCCTTAACACACAGATGAAATATTTATTTTCATATTAAATGTTTATCAGATGTCTATCTCTATATAAATGTGCATACACTTAAGGCAGAGAAGAAGGATCCTTCTCAGAGGAGCAGCAGGAGTTTTGCCAGTGGAGGCCGACTGTGGGTGGAAGCTGTTGGGTTTGAAGCCAACAAGCATCCCACCTCCTGCTCCTTACCCTCCCTTTGCCATGCCTTTGGGAAATGGCCTGGAAAAGATGGGCATGAGACCCCAAAGCCAGGCTCCCACTGAGCTTGCTGATCCTTCTGCCTCTGTCTGTGCCAACAGCCACAGAGAGCAGCTGCTGCCGCCACCAACCGGGGCTCCAGAGCTCACACGTGGAACACTGAAACTGACAAAAGCTCCAAGCACTGTCTGTGAAGGTTAAAGCGCAGCTCTTAAGGGGAGGTTGTTATCATTGTTGCGTTTAATTTGGGCATATAAAGTCTGCTGAGCTCTTATGTCACCCGTGTGAGCCCTCCGGTTAAAGCCCAGCCTGGGTGCTGCCCTGCCGTTCTTCTATTGCTTGTGCTGTATCCACAATGTGCTTTTCAACTGCTTCCTTCTTCAGCTGACTGCAGGGGGGTGATGCAGGGGGAGGCCTGGCTCCTGTGAGTGCCAACTGCATGGGGACCCTGCTGTCTTCCATGCACCAGGGCAGTCTGTGCCAGGGGACAGCATCCGTGGAGTGTTTCTTTCTTTGATTTTTGTTTTTTACTTCATTAAAAAATATGCAAGATGGGAAAAAAACAACAAAACCACAGCAGGTTGGGTGCTTTTGAGGGATTTTGTTTCTTTTTCCTGAGGATTTTATGTTTTGGTTCTAGCTATCATCTGCTTGCCCCCATTTTCCTTTGGGCAAGTGCCTGGACTTGGTTGCAGTGGCTCTCTGTGGTTTGCTTCCCCTGCTACTTTCTCCATCTGGCTTGGTACTCTGGGAGGACTGACAGCATTTGTCCCTGGCTGGCTGGCAAGAGGAGATTTTGCTGCTATTTCTGTTGTTTGTGCTCCATCCCCTTTGTTCCTCCCATCAGCTTCCCATGGCAGACTGCTATAACAGCCTCTTGGCAGCCCTCGTGCTTCAGGCAGCAGCCACTTACTTTTCTGCCTCCATCCCTGCTCCTTGATGATGCCTCATTGCTTCTATGGTTGAGGATAAATAAAGTGTCCTGAAATCAGGAGGGAAAATCCAAGGTGATCAAAGCAGCTGCCTCATCCTGGAGGCCTGAAATGGCATGGGGGCATAGTTTCAGGGCCATCATGCATGGTGCAGTACCTCTGGATGCCTTCCCACCACTGCTGCCACCAGCACCCCATGGCTTTTGCCAGCCAAGTGATGCCGCACTGCATGGATGCTGGTGAAAAATCAGCCTTTGGGTAAAGAAGAGTTTTGGAAAGAGTCACTCACTCATTCCCCTCAAGATGGCTGGGAATTGTGTCCTGGGTTTGGCTGGGACCATGCTACCTCCTCACGAAGTATCACCACTGACTGCTTTTTTCCACTTGTATTTGGGCCCCTAACCACAAAAGTGCTCTGTAGAGTGGGCCTTGAGTTAGAACCCTCCCCATGTGCCTTTCTGCAGCAAAGGGGTGTGTGCAGCCTGTAACCCTGGGCTCCATCTTTGCCTGCCAGCATGGGGGCTCCTTGTGGGGGTGCCAGGGGATATTGGGGCTTGGGCATGTCATGGTACATTGCAGTGTGCTCAGGTGGGGATGCTGTGCTGCACATCACTCCCTTGGGGCAGCCAGCATTGGGCAGAGCCATGACAGAGCCGTTGCCCCACTGGGTCCGCACGCTCCCATCTCACTGCAGGGCTGTGGGGTCACTGCCCACCCCTTGCCCTGTCAGCCAGCTCATGCTCTCCTTGAGCCTGCAGCACCCGTGGCCATCATGCCTGCTCCTGACCCACAGGGAAGCACACAAGCCCCAGCTCTGGGAAAGGACCCATTGCTTGAACTTCAGCAAAGGAGCTTGGGGTGGCGCGTGTGGGTTGTGACCCTTTGGGGCTGGATCGCTACGACCGCTGCAGAGAAGCATCACAGTCCCCGTAAGTGCTAAGTCATAGATACAGGATGGAAAAGCACCATTCCACAGCAAGCTCCTCCTGAGTAAGAGGAGTGTGCAGGCATCAGGAACCAGCTGTGGTATGGTACAGTGAGAACAACATGCTTGTGAGAGCTGTTGAGCAAAGGTTTCAAGCTAGAGAGGAGGCACAGCTCTTGGATTGGGTTTTATCACCTCTTCTGGACAAGCACAGGTTAAACACAGAAACATTCTGTGATGCACATTTCCTCTGATTCCATGGCTGGGGCTGCTGGACTGGTTTGTTAGCTCACTTGTCCCTGGTATGGGAGGATTCCTCCACTACTCTCCGTCCCAAAGTAGCAACACAAGCTTACCTCATTTACCATCTGTGAGAAGAAGCCCCCATCAGCTCCATGTGTCCCTTGGGCTTCAGCCACCCTGGCCCACTGCTGTGGTGGGACAATGCCCACCTGCATGTCTTTACCAGCACAGCATTTTGCTTTGGGAAAGCATTCTGGAGGACAGTCAGTACTGTTGTACCTGGGCACTGCTGAGATAAAGTGTAGGTAACAGGATCTTTGAGGAATGACCATTGTGCACCTCTCAACAGTGCAATAGGACAGCTATAGATGATAACAGAAAGGCATCTGGGAGATCTGGTCTTGCTTGTACATGCCACCTTTCAAAGCTAGGAAATTTCAACCCACCCTCATCACACTTTGGTGTTAAGTGGTGGCAGGTCATTCCTCATATCATTCACCCGGAATTGCCTTGTTCTGGGGAGAAAAGAAACAGACAAAAGCTTTTGGGGGTTAATTCTGCCAGGAAGCGGATGCAGCCCTGACCTTGTTGTAGGAGCCAGCTGGCACGAGCGGGAGCAGCAGTTGCTCAGCCCTGGCCACAAGATGGAAAGCACTTGTCACCAAGAATAACCTGTGGAGTATTACGTGGAAAAAATGTTTTTAATGACCGTTGTCATCAGTGTGCATGTGCCAGCAGCAGCCGCCTTGTTAATAGCAGAGTGCGTGCCAGTGCCGCTTAGTGCCCAGCAGACAGAGCTCCCAACTTGCCTCTATAGCGGGATGGGTTTAAGGATTTTACACCTCCTAGTATTTAAATGAGTTATTTAAAATACATAGATGATTAACAGCATGAGTAGATCTATCCATCCCCCACCAGCCCCTCCCCACCTTCCCTTCACCCAGAGCTCTGTGCTTTGTCTGGCAGGATGTACTGGCAGGGTCACACAAGTCCCCCAAACCCATGGGGCATCCCAGCAGGCAGCCAGAGGGTCACTCATGTTTGCACCCCCACTGCCAACATCAGAACCCCTCATCCCCCTCTCCATGCTGTACTGGTATACTCATCCCTTCCCCACACTTGGCCTTGGGTGGTAAAATGGGCTTAGACATGGAGCCTATGGGCATGATTTAAGGTTGATGAGCTCATCAGATGTTCCTGCTGCACCTCAATGTGAGCATTCACCTATGTCCCACACAACACCACTGCTGTTGCTACGTGTCGAGTGGGAGCTGTGGCTGAAGGAAAAACTGTGATCTACCTTCTACTCATTGCTGGGCATGCACTCAGATATTGGCCCAGTTTGA